CATGCTCAGTGGTTAGAGCATCAGCCCAAGCACTGAAGGGTCTTGATTCCTGTAAAGGGCACAGTGCCAGTTGGGGCACGTGCATGAGGCAACCAATTGACGCGTTTCTCTCACGTCGATGTTTCTCTCTCTGTCTCCCTGTCCCTTCCACTCTCTCTAAAAATCAATGGAAAGATATCCTCGGCTGAGGATTAACAACAACAAACAAGCATGGTCTGTCTCAGCCTCAAATAACCAACTCCCCAGCCCCCACCCCCAACGCCAGACCAGCCCATGTGCTAAATAAACGGCTCTGACTCTTACTTCACATGAGCGATGCCAGGCTTTAGAAACAGTCATCTCTCTGGCACTGGCTCTCTCCTGCACACTCCCCCCTCACCAGGAGCACGCTCACTGCTGTACCAGCTGCCAGGAAAGCGAGCGAACAGGTCAGCAGGATGCGGGACTGTGGACACCAGCCTGGGCTCAGAGGGGGGATGGGGGCCTGGCCAGGGGCAGGGCAGGCCTGAGTCAGGCCCAGCACCACGGCAGCGTTCTTGGGGGACAATCTTGGGTCTGCTTCTCTTCTTTCTGCCTTGGACCCAAACCGCGGCTGGGGCTCTGCAGGGAGGGCCGGACAGGCGCCGCGCAGTCATAACAGGAAGTGCGCTTCCTCTGCCAGCAATGCCTGTGCGCTGCCACGAAGGAGGCGCATGAGAGAGGCTGCCAGCGCCGTCCGCAGATGGGTGTCAGAAAGCTCAGCTGAGCTCCAGCCTCCTGGCACGCATCTCCCACGCTCCTGGGACAGTCCCATCCAAAGGGGGCTCAGCCTCGCGGCCCACGTGAGCTAGGTCAGCACATGACTAGCCTAAAGGGGGAGGGGCGCCAGACACAGCCTTCGTGGAAACCCAGAGTCCCAGGGCCCATGTGGCTTTTTCTTACGGTCCAGGGGTTCATGGGTACAAGCTGCCCACAGTGGTGTTTTTCCATGTGTGGAGCCTCAGGATGCCAGAATGTCTGCCATCAGCAGAGCAGGAGCATCTCCCAATGCCTGGCAGCGCAGAGCTCCAGTCTCCTTAGGAAAGCAGCCAGTCTCCTGGACAAGCGTCAGACCCAGGCCTCACATCCAAGGGCGCCCTCGTGTCTAAGCAGCAGCCCCGAACCCCTTGGCAACCACAGAGCCAGCTCAAACTGATCCTGTCCTATTTCTAACAAAACCCAAAACCCAAGTTTAAACCTTGGATACACCAGTCATGAGTCACACCTGTGAACCTCACTCCCAAGTCACACTCTGGACACCTCACGGTAGCGCTGTGGACCCTCAGCGGCTGCCCCCACAGAGCCTCAGGCTGGGACAGCATGAGGGCCTGAGCCTTTCAGAAGCGCAGGTGCGCTGTCCAGGAAGACGCGGTGCTGAAACCCTCAAATCCGGCTGGAGCCCTGGGTGGGGAGACAGATTTGAGCACCACCTCCTGTCTCCTTGCCTGTAGACCTCACAATAAAAGACTTTTTCTTTTTTCAAAAAAAGCTGTCCCCAGTGCCACCGTGTTATCTCCCATGCACATCAGGCAGCAGGCCCTTGCTGGCAGTGAGACTTTCACTCAGGCTGCCGGGACTGAGAACTGGCCAAGGCTGGACTGAGGGGCAGGAGGCTGAGGGCGCTGTCAGCCCACGCCAGCCCTTGTCTGCTGGGCCCTCCACACCCCCTTCAGGACGGGGCCCCTCCTGCTGAGCCAGTCATGGTGACGAGCTGCATGGCCGTCACACGCACCCAGCACTGTGCTACCCTCACATTACAGATGAGGAAACTGGGGTTGAGGTCTGGGAGCATCAGTGGAGACAAGGTCCCAGCCAGGCTGGCCCAGAGCCTGCAGTCCCCACCCCCACAGGCCCTCTCCCAAGCACATCCTCTGAACCCCCTTTGAGAAACCCCTGCAAACTCTGGACCCTGTACCTGAAAATCCTCTTACATAGAGAATCCCCCACCTCAGGTGCACAGACCCCCAGGGCCCGAGTCCCGGCCGTGGTGTGAGGGCGGACGTGGAGAGGAGCACTTACAGGGCTGCCGGGCTCCCATGGAAGGGCTGGGTCACTGCTAGGGGTCACTGCTGAGAGGCGACACCTGAGGGAGCCGTGGAAACTCTCAAGCTGCCCTCCCAGAATTCCACCCTGAGCACATGTGTGCCCTGGGGCGCCTGCCCAGGGCCCACTCTCCATCCAGCACAAGCACAGGAAGGACCCTCCGGGGCCTTGGGCGGGGGAGGTCCCAGGTATTTCTGCCAAGGCTGGCCCTCCGACCCCTCCCCCCCCCAACCCCTCCACCCTCCTCCCCCTGCAACTCAGGGACAGCTCCTGTCTCGAGTGCCTCTGGCAAAGCTCACAGGCCAGGAGAGGGATGGCCACAGCTCTGTGCCCAGGCATGTCTGCAGAGAGAGGCCCTTTCGCAGGGGGTGGGCGGGAGGGGGACCTGGCCTGAGGCCCACAAAGCCCAGAGGCCACAGGGCAGTCGCCTCCCTCCCACCTCTGGCAACAGCTGTCCCCTGAGATCCACTGGGACACCCCCATCTTCCAGAAACCAGGTGCGAAGACAAAAGGCTAAAGGGTGACCAAGGAGGGCTCAGTGCTGCCCCAGGCCCAGGATGGGTCTTCACTAGGACTGCCAGCCCCAGACCGTGTCCCCACCCTCCACCAGTTTCCAAGCCCGACGCAGAACCCCCGAGCAGAACCGGCGAGGAGGAGGAGGAACTTGCACTTCATTTAATTAATGAATCCACAAGCCAAAGCATGAGTCAGGCTGTCAGCCCAAGCTGGGGAAGGGAGCAGGGCACCGGGCGGCCACACCCTGGGGGTCAGTGGGCACTGAAGGCTTCCTGTGTCAGGGTGGGGCTGGGATCCATGGATGGCTGGGCACAGGGAGAGTGGAGAATTCCACACCTGGGGACAGGATGACAGGCAATGAGTCACAACAGCAGGACGGCCCTGTCATAGTGGGGAGAGCCCACTGCACCAGCCCTGGGAGTTCATCTCCACCAGACCCTCTGCCCACTTTACTGATAGAATCACTGAGGCCTGCAAAGACTAGACTTAAGCGCCTAAACCAACAACAGCTGCAGATCCCTCCTGCCTATCCCACTCCCCAAGAGAAATCGCCTACCACTGAGCTGTCTTTCCATGAGTCTGAGCCCCCACTGGTGAGCTGGGGGCGACGGGGAGCTCGTGCCCTCGGTAGAGGGGCCGAGGAGGCCTGAGAGGCTGCAGGGCAGGGCTGCCTTGGCAGTGAGGGCTAATGCCACGACGCCCCCCACGCTGCTGGGCCCATACCCTGATTCAGGGCTGCCCAGAGAGAAAACAGAAGAACAGAGCCGGCCCAGGGTCCCCACACACCCTGCTCTCATTCTGAACACGGCCACTCTCAGGAGGCAGTTGGCACAGAGTCGCCCACTTCAGGCCCAAGCAGGGAGAGGCCACCCGGAGGGGACCCCCAGGAAAAGCTGCCAGCCAGGGGCATCTGTGCCCAAAGCATGGCAAACCCTCCAGCACCAGCTGGGCTGTGGGGATGGGCTGTGTATGTACCGGAGGTCACCTCGGGCCAGGACCTGGATGATCACAGCCTGTCCCACCCAGAGGCCCCTGGGCCCCCAGCCAGATGGGAGGGTCCTTGGTAAGCAGACACTGGGCCTTCCGAGGCTGAAGAGCACATCTGAGCAGCCAGCCCAGGAAGAACAGAGCCATCTGGGGGCCCTGGGGCTAATGCTCACCATGCCAGGAGCCCATGCCTCTTGCGATTCCCAGGGCGGCTGGGTGCCAGGGCTGGGGACATAGTCCCCCCAGGACACCTTCCCCACAAGCAGCCTGGCATTTCCCTCCCAGGGCCACCGCCCCCTCCCATGGAGGGTCTGTCCAGACACATGGGCCCAGGTCCCTGGTCACACTCAGTGGGTCACACTCACAAGCACACACCCCTCTCATCCAGGCGGGCATCAGGCCAGGGGGAGGCAGTTTCCCAGAATCTGCCCCTCACTCCCATCCCAAAACGCTCCGCACACAAAATGGCCGAGTGGCCGGCCTGGCTGGGATGGGAGAGTGCCTGCACTCCCAGAGCCCGTGCTCGGAGGACACAGGCACACGCACTCTCAGGCACCACCCACGACACTCATGTGCACAGAGGCCAGCCAGAGGCCACTGGCCCTGACCACCAGGCCTGGGGAACCAACCACCCTTCTCCGGTCAGGGCTGGCAGGCCCCGGCAGCAGCCCCCTCCACCTGGGTGTCCACTCTGCCAAGGAGGGTCAGAGCCTGGGATGCGCAGGGGGCTTCAGGCACACCCCTGCTCCTCCCGCTCGGCTCGCAGCCGCCGCTGCCGCTGCCGCGGAGAGGCCTCAGGGCTGTGCGGGAGAGGGTGGGGGGGAGGGGGCTGTGCGGGAGGGGGGTGGGGAGGGGGGACCCAGGGATGCAGGCAGGGTCAGGGCCAGCTCCAAGCACCAGGGGCAGGACTCAACTTCCCTGAGCTTCGGGTTGGGGGAGGGGAGTCATGTTAGGACCCCTCCCCATTTCAGCAACCCAGAAGCTCTCCCCAGATGGAGTGAGTTGCTTGGGGGGCTGGGGGAGGTAGGCCAGCCCTTCCCCCATCATCCCCTTCCTTGGGGGAGCCCAGCTTAGGGGGACCCCCAGGAGTCCAGATCCAGAGGCAAGACGGGCAGCGCCGCCCTCCCTCCCCGCAGGCCCTTTGTTTGGTGCAATGGCCGTGGGGAGGGGCCTCTCTAGGGCCAAGGAGGGGTGGCTGGGGCTACGCAAACCCCATCCCGCAGGGGAGGGGCTGAGGCAACCCAGCCAAGCCGCAGGGGGGAGGCGGGAGAGGGCGGGGGACAGGCGCCCCCACTCTGATCTGAACCCCGCACCCCAGAACTCCTTCCGGCCTGATCTCTCCAAAAATCTCTCCAGTCTGCGCCCTTCGCTTCACCCGGGGACGCGGTCCCGGCGCGGTCCCAAGCTCCGGCGTGGGCGCGGGGCCGGACACTCACACGTAGGCGTGGTAGATGAAGGCCCAGCCGCGCGGCCGCTCCAGCACGTTGTACAGGGCGTTCTGCAGCTTGCGGTAGAAGGCGTTGCGCTTCGGGGGCTTCCCGGCGCCCACGCCTCCCGCGCGCGGCTTGCTGAGGATGCTGCCGCGCTTGGAGGCCTCGGAGCCGGCGATGAGCAGGGCGCCGTCCCGGGTGCTGTCGGGCGCGCCGGGGTCCAGCCCCACGAAGCCCACCTTGAGCTTCTTCTCCCCGCTCGGGCCGGGGTACACGCCGCCGTTGCGCGACTTCTGCACCATGGTGCCGGCGGCGCCCGGCGGAAGGGGCGCGGACTCAGCGGGGGCGGCACGCTGGGGGCGCCCCGAGCCCAGGCCCCCGGCGCGCGAGCCGCATGGCAGGGGCGGCGGGGGCGGCGGCAGCAGTGGCTCCGCGCTCCAGCCGGCCCGGGCCTCGCGGGGCGGGGGGAGGAGGGGAGACGGGCCGCCACCTCGCTCCGCCCTCCGCCTTGCCCCGCCCCCGTTAACCCCCGCGAAGCCGTGCGGGCCGCGGGAGAGGCGGGAACCGAGAGGAGGCCGGGCTCTGTGCCGCTGGCCAGCCCTTTCCCTCTCCCGCCGCCGCGGCCGCGCGGACGAGAGAACCTGCCCTTGGTCTCCTCTGAGGCGGACAGGACCAGGCGAGCACACGCCCGAGCGGTCCCGGCACCTCCAAGCGGGGCGGGGTGGCTTTCGGGTGGACCGGCCTGACCCCACCCCCACCCCACACTGGCCCTTGCCGGTGCCGGGAGCGTCTAGGCCGGGAGCGTTCCTAAGAGGCGACCTGACCTGGGCGCAGAGGCGGGGCCCTGGCAGAAGAGCCGGGAGCGCGGCTCCCCACCACGGAGGCCGGCCGTGGGCACAGCGATCAGGTGGGCGGAGAGACTCGCCCCTGGAGGCCTGGGCTTTGTCTGCAGACCTGGAGGGGGCCTGAGGCTGCGCCGGGCTGAAGGGGCGAGGACTCCGCCGGGGGCAGCGGGGGCGGCCGGAGCCGGAGCCCAGGCCCGGGCCAGAGCCGCACGCAGGGCCCGGGGGCTCTCGGGACCACCTCCGCCTCTTCCCACACTGGCCCAGCACCGCGGGGTCGGCTACGTGAAAGGCCTGTTCAGAAGGGGTCGCTGTCCAACTGGTAACTTGGCTCAAAAACAGCTCTAGCCCTACCCTTTGGCCTCCAAAGCTAGTAGCCATGTGGCCTGTTTTTTCTTTTTAATTTGACAGAAAACAATGGCCCCTCAGGCACAGGGCTAATTTGTGAGTCATTCAAAGTGTTGGGGTTGGACTGTGCACAAGGGCAGGTCCCAGGGGCCGCACTCCTGACCCCACCTCCGCGCCTACCTGCCCAGTAGTCAACCCCAGGGACTGCACCCTGCGGAGCCCAGACTGAGGACGGAGGCACCAGCCTGGTCCATTCAGAGGGGTTGGGGGGCCGGCTGGATGGCAAAAGGAAAGGAGGGGCGCTCTGCATCCCCACACAGCTGGACCCACAGGGATGGCACCTGGGTGACCCTTGCTCTCACCCTTCAGAGGGCTGGACAAAGTGGCTGCACTCAGATGTGCAAACTCCAGAAGGGGCCGCCACCTGGGTCCCCTGAGACCGGCCAGTCCCTCCCAGGGGAGTCTCTTCTGGGACTCTGATGTGCGAATGAAGTACCCCCTGAAGGACTAGCGATGCTGGGGGTGAGGGGTGAGAGGGAAGCCTGGCTGGGGAGGGGCGGGGAATGACCGCTGGGACCCTCTCTTCTCTCATCTGCAAAGGCGCTGGTAGGTTCCGGGAGGCGTGTCAAGGTGTGAGCCTCTGCTTCCTCTGTTATGATGTCCTTTCAGTGAGCCGGCTCACTGATCATCCATGTCTTCAGTTTTGTGTCCTGTGCATCGTCAGCTGTCTGGTGTCCCCCCAGCACACCTGCAACCCAGGTGAAGCAAGTCATGAACATGTTCAGTTGGGGTGAATTCCATGCAAGTGACAGGAATTCCATTTATTTAAAAACTAGAGGCCCAGCCCTAACCGGTTTGGCTCAGTGGATAGAGCATTGGCCTGCGGACTGAAGGTCCCAGGTTCGATTCTGGTCAAGGGCATGTACCTTCGTTGTGGGTACATCCCCAGTAGCGGGTGTGCAAGAGGCAGCTGATCGATGTTTTTCTCTCATCGATGTTTCTAACTCTCTATCCCTCTCCCTTCCTCTCTGTAAAAAAAAATCAATAAAATATATATTTTTTTAAATAAAAAATAAATAAATAAAAACTAGAGGCCCGATGCACGAAATTCGTGCAAGAGTAGGCCTTCCTTCCCCCGGCTGCTGGCACCGGCTTCCCTCTGGCACCCAGGACCTGGGCTTCCCTCACAGAGGGAGGCCCTGTCCACCTACCGCAGCCCGTCGGTCAGTGTCCTGGGCCTCCCTCTTTGGGCCGATTGTGGAGCCCCCCAATTGATCACCCCGCTGGCCAGTGGCCTGGACCTTTCTCTGCAGGGTGATCATGGGGCGATGGCCGGGCCCTGGACCAATTGCATCACACCCGCCTTGGCTGGCCTGGCACCAGTGGGTGTCAGCGTGGTCCCGGCTGGTCAGTCTGTTGTCCGGCCATTTGGCCGATTTACATATTACGCTTTTATTATATAGGATAGATGGAAAAGCTTCCAGGTTCAAGACATCTTTGCCAAGACAGCAATGAGGATCCAGAGAAGAGTGGAAAATTTCAGGTGCACAGATGCCCAGCTCCAGCCTGGAGAGGCTGCAGCCAGCATGAGCTGCCAAGCAGGGCGCTGTCCGGTCAGCACCTCTGTATGGAACACGGTCCCCAGACCCCCAGTCTCCTCCTCCATCCCCCAGGTCGCCGGCCACACCGAGCAGCCCAGCATAGACCAGTGAGGGAGCTGAGAACCACGGTGGCCACTGTCACCTCCCAGGCCAGCACAGAGGTCTCGGGCATCCACCCACCTCCAGCTCTTGCTCTGTCCCCACCCCACAGGGAGCTCCTTGCCTCTGCACTCATCTCAACACTGCCGTGTCCCACAGGGCTTGGCACCATCAGGCCCCTATGGGTGGTCAGCAGATGTGGCAACTGCTGGTGGCTGAGGCCAGATCAAAGCACGCCAGCACTGTCCCCTCCAGGAATCTGCACAGGGACCCTTCCGAGGTGGTACAGGCACAGCATTTTCTGGAAACCCACTTCTCCCACTCCAGGGGTCCTGACACTTACTCCTTCGGCCCTAACCTGCGACAGGGCAGGGGCTTCTCCTGGCTGGCGGGCCTGGCTCAGTGACATCAGCGGTGAGGCCGGTCCCCTGTTGGCCGCGGAGGGGGCCCAGCTCTGATGCCCTGCTTCTGGGCCCTTTGGGACAGCCATCTGCTGCTCTGTTACATCCCTGTCTGCTCACAAGTCACACAGAAGGTGTTTATTTCCAGTTGGAGTTCCGCGGGCCGGGCTGCGGCCTGAAAAGCAGCTTCCTTTTGCAGCAGCACCAGCACCAGCTCCAGCTCCTGTCTCCTCCCAGGAGAAAGGGAGCGCGCTCCTCCCGGCGCGGCCTGCGGAAACAGATGATCCCGGCAGAGGCCCAGCGGGAAAGCTCACCAGCCCGAGAAACGAGAAATGAGACTTAATTTGGGGAAATGAGGACGGACAGGTTCTCAATCATTTGGCCTGGGTCAGAGTTTGTCATCCTAACACTATCATTTGGGCAACAGGAAGTGCCTGTGCAGACAGCAAGTCCCAGCCCGCCATCCCCCAGGAATTTTCCATTATTAGGAGGAGGTGGGGCTGCATTTATCCAGCTCATGGGGGAGTGGGAAGTGAGAGAAGACTTAACATATGAAAGCATTGACTTTAAAAAACATCTTACACTAAACTCAATAAAAATTTAGACATTTTTCAAAGGATCAGAGTTATCAGCCATCCTCCCAGCCCCTGGCAAACCAGCGAATTGCAGGGGGGAGCTGGCTTGGACTCCTCAGCCACCAGGAACCCATGGACGCCAGGTGTGCACAGCCGGCTGGACAGTGGAGGTAGCCTGGGTGCATGGGGAGGGCGGGCCCTGGAGGCAGCTCCTAAGAGCAAGGGCGGTGCTTGGGAGGTTGTGGGTTTTGTCATTCCCCCCCCACCCCCCCCCGCACAGCCCTTCCCACTCTGTGCACAAGTGAAGTCTGTGACAGCGTCCCTGTGTGCGCAGATGAAGCGTGGGGGCAGACAGGCCACGCTCGTGCACTGCGATGCTGAGAGGGACCGAGTCAGTGCTCAGTGGCTCTTTGACACTCTCCAGATGCCCTCCTCGCCACGGACTCTTCCCCCATGTGATGTGGCCTGTGACGCCCAGACTACCCCACCCACATGCCCCGCCTGCCCCTTCCAGCCCCCATGGCCCACCCGCAAGTCGGTGAAACCCCAGTGGCCTCAAGCAAGCAAAGGAGCCTTTGCCTGCAGTGTTCCCTCCACAGGAATCTGTTCCCGCCACTGGCGCCTGAGGGCCCTGTGCGTCTCCCCAGAGAGGCTCTGCTGTGGCCGCCCTCAAGGGGGGCCTCACTGCTCCCCTCAGCCCTGGTGTCTCATCACAGCCGAAGCTGTTTTACTTATTCACTTGCCTCCTATTCACCTCCCTCCCCGCTAGACAGGGAGCTCAAACTGTGCACAAACCCACACCCTGTGCCCACACCCACACCCTGTGCCCACACCCACACCCTGTGCACACACCCTGTGCCCACACCCAGACCCTGTGCCCACACCCTGTGCCCACACCCACACCCTGTGCCCACACCCACACCCTGTGCACACACCCACACCCTGTGCCCACACCCACACGCTGTGCACACACCCTGAGCACACACCCTGTGCACACACCCACACCCTGTGCCCACACCCACACCCTGTGCCCACACCCTGAGCCCACACCCACACCCTGTGCCCACACCCACACCCTGTGCCCACACCCACACCCTGTGCCCACACCCACACGCTGTGCACACACCCTGCGCACACACCCTGTGCCCACACCCACACCCTGTGCCCACACCCACACCCTGTGCCCACACCCACACCCTGTGCACACACCCACACCCTGTGCACACACCCACACCCTGTGCCCACACCCACACCCTGTGCCCACACCCACACCCTGTGCCACACCCACCCTGTGCACACACCCTGCGCACACACCCTGTGCCCACACCCACACCCTGTGCCCACACCCACACCCTGTGCCCACACCCACACCCTGTGCCCACACCCACACCCTGTGCACACACCCACACCCTGTGCCCACACCCACACCCTGTGCACACACCCACACCCTGTGCCCACACCCACACCCTGTGCCCACACCCACACCCTGTGCCCACACCCACACCCTGTGCCCACACCCACACCCTGTGCCCACACCCACACCCTGTGCACACACCCACACCCTGTGCCCACACCCACACCCTGTGCCCACACCCACACCCTGTGCACACACCCACACCCTGTGCCCACACCCACACCCTGAGCACACACCCACACCCTGTGCCCACACCCACACCCTGAGCCCACACCCACACCCTGTGCACACACCCACACCCTGTGCACACACCCACACCCTGTGCACACACCCACACCCTGTGCCCACACCCACACCCTGTGCACACACCCACACCCTGTGCCCACACCCACACCCTGTGCCCACACCCACACCCTGTGCACACACCCACACCCTGTGCACACACCCACACCCTGTGCCCACACCCACACCCTGTGCACACACCCACACGCTGTGCACACACCCACACCCTGTGCACACACCCACACCCTGAGCCCACACCCACACCCTGTGCACACACCCACACCCTGTGCACACACCCACACCCTGAGCCCACACCCACACCCTGTGCACACACCCACACCCTGTGCACACACCCACACCCTGAGCACACACCCACACGCTGTGTACACACCCACACGCTGTGCACACACCCACACGCTGTGCACACACCCACACCCTGTGCCCACACCCTGTGCCCA